GTCAATGGAAGGTTTATCCTACCAGCAAAATCCTGTGTGCAGCATCCTTGCCACTCTGCCCATATTCACAATCATACGTGGCTATGAGCAATTCTGCTACAGGTTTTTTATGTGGTTGGAAAGAGGAGAAGTCAGAAAGCCAATTCTTTTCCTCTTCTCCCCAGTTTCATATAAAGAAACAACGTCACATAAACACCAACACAAACAGAGGTTGGTGTTTGTGGGAGGGTAGCTCACTTGCAAGACAACAGCAGCGTTGGCAGCCTGACAGCAGGGCGACTCCGTGACCTCAGTCAGCCCAGGTCTTTTCACTCAGCTGGTCATCATGAGAAAAATCCAAAGATTACGTCTGAACATTTTAAAAATGAAACATTTTAGTGTTTTCATTCAAAACAAGTTTTAATTTAGAAAAGTGAAACATGAAAAAGGTCCAAATATTTCACATGAAATTAGGAAACTAAAATGTAATTTGTGATCATATCCTTGAAAACTATATTTCATACTTATCCATAAGGTAAGAAACTACAGTTACATGGGCAACTCCGGTAATCCCTAAGACTTGAAAGTTTCCACTTCAGTCCTAAAAATAATCTTAATTTCTTCAGACACCGAACTGGCATCATTTGGAAGCATTATGGTGGCCATCAGCATGTCTTGTGAGTCTTTCAGTATTACTGTGAGAGCACTGTGTATTTTACTGCTGACAGTTTTTCAGCAGAGAGTGAGAAAGCACTTAAAGAAGCTAGCCTAAAAAAGAGAGTGCTTTTTAGCACTTTTGTCCAGGTACCTCATTTTCCTATGGAGGCAGAGGGAAGGCATGATAAATACAGAGGAAAGACAGTACAAATGGCATCTCATTATATGAGATTTTATGAGAAAACCCTCCTCCTTCAAAACAGCAACCTTCTACCTTTACTGACCCTACTAGTGTCCTGCAACCCCTCAGTAACCTTCTGTCTGGACTGTTTTGACAGTACCTTGTAATTAAAATACTGTCCTGGCAGTTGTGGGAGAGCTTTCTAAAAATTGTCTTTTACGGTTCTGGTTTCTCCTCCAAACACTTTGGTTCAACGTAATGAACTGCCATTGAAAAGTCATGGGGACAGAGGGGAAGGACTTGGGAAATGCCAGTCCATCAGGAAGCCTTCAGAGAACCCCAGGCCTCCGGACAGCCCACACAGTGACCTGTAAGGCTATCAAGCTAAAAGATGGTACTCATAGTCTGAAAAGCGCAAACCATAGTTTTACGATCTTGTGGTGCCTGCTTGATTTTTTCAGTATAAAAGCACAGAGGGTCAGAAAGCATTTACTATCATCTGCCATGTTATGCCATGTAATAGTAGTTTACAGCGGAATGTGCTTGTATTCTCTGTGCTAATGCTTTTGCATGTCCTTTTGCACTGAAATAGCTGGAGCTGGTGTATGGAAATTATGTGATATTCTGTTAAGTGGTGTCTGAGCCCTCTGAGCTGTTCCATACTCCTCCAGCCACCAGAAGACTACTGGCACAGGGTTTACCAATGTACCAAGCTGGTGTTTCTGTATGCTGTCCTTGTGGCCCGAGGCAAGGCAGAGAATGAGGAGTGAGTTAGTCTCTTAGCTGAGGCTTTGGATGCAGAGTGTGGGTTAAGTCCTGAAATGGACCAAATTTCTTTGTGAATTATCTGCAGTAAAGCTACTTTAATTCCCACCCGCAGTCCACATAGGGTTTTAGTATCACTGAGCTAATCCAGATATGGATTTGCTGAGAGGTCAAGGGCAGGAGGGAGATGCAAGGTCGCAGCTTTGTGTTTGATGCCAGCTAATGCAGCAGCATGCCCATGTAGCATAGAGCATCTCTGCAGCTTTCCTCTTCCATAGGATCAGAAACACCTCCAAGTCAGTGCCAATCCCCATCACATTAACTTCCCTGAATGTCCCTGCTCAGGCATGGCCTAACTAGGAAGCAGTTTGCCATCCAGAGGAAAACAGCCTCTCTCAGCAAGTTCACAAGCTTTCCAGACAACTTTCGGCAACTGGAATAACTCTGCTATCTGGCTGCTACTCCGTGCTGGAAATGACAGGGAAGAGGGAGACAGGAGAGAGGCTGTGAGTGCAGAACCAGAGATTTTCTCTCCTTTATAATGAAATCCCCATTGTTTTCAGAGAGCAAAGGAAAAAAAAGTATTTGTTTGCAATGCTAGTGTTTCTCCTCAGCTCCTTGTGATCGATCATCCAATTACATTTGTGGCAAACAAGCACGACATCTCCCTGGCAAATGTGTAACGTTCACAACTGGCAGCGGCAAAACAGTTTGTCTTTCTGGCAAAGTCTGAAACAGGAAATGTGTATGAGGCTGAGAAGCAGAGTTTGCTCTGCCATATAGAGATAGATGTGCCAGAAAGCTCATTGGGAAGCAAGGAGCAAAGGGAACCAGCAGAAATTCACAGCTAGAGCTCAGCCAATGTTTGAATAGCACCCTGGGTCTGCCTTGTGCTCTTCTTAGTCCTGTGCTCTGTCAGAAATGCCCTGATTCAGCGCAAATGTCCCTTTTTTCCCTCTCAGAAATGGCAAAGGTGTAACACCCATTCTGGTTTTACTCTGCCTGCAAATGCCTTCAGGCATAAAAATTCACAGGCCAGATTCTGAGCTAGCATCAGTGTCTAGCAGACACCGTGATTTATGCCACTGCAGTATCTGGTTCCTGTTTGCTAAAAATTTGTAACCTTCAGAGCTAACCTGGGCCTAGCTGCCAAAACATGCAGTCAGCCTTTGGTTCTTCATAAAATCATATCAAATTCCCTAAGGTTTTGTCCCAGACATAATGTTTTTGAGATAGTGTCTGGAGTTCAGCCCGGAGCAGGCTGGAAAAGCAGCAGAGGCACCCGGCACCTATCAGGCTGAAGCCAAGGGAAGCGATGGCACAAGCTGAGCAAGGTCCAAGGCATTTGAGCAGATGGCACCACTCCACGGATGGCGCTGCTCTCCACCGCAGTGCCTGAGGAGTGACCACTGGCTGGACTGCACTTTCCTTGGGGGAAACAGAGAGCTCGCAGAGGGCTTGCAGACAGCTAGCAGTGCTCATGTGAGCTATGGAGGTTGCTAGCTCTGCCTGCTCTCAGGGGTTCAGGTTTCTCATGGGCTCCAGATGCTGCTGCACTGCTTGGCTCCTGCTGCCGGATAACTCCACATGGTCCTGACAGCAAAACCCAGCAAAAGCCACCAGCAACAAAAATCCTCACAGTAGCTGTTTCTGCTGTTTCCCTTTCCCAAGGTATTTCTCGCATGCCAGGCTAACCAGATTGCCTATTTCCCCCTGACTGCTGCTACCCTCAGATACTCAACAGGTTACTGAAAGTCTAGCCTAGGGCTATCTGAGATAGGTATTTAGAGACAGATTTGCTCTGAAGGCATTTCTATTTGGCAGAAATCAATGTTCAAGTGGCATTTGCACAGTACAGTGCCTTCCTGAATATTGTCATTTTCCTCTGAAATTTCAGAATCAGTGGGCCACAGGAAAGCTGTCAAACTGACATCCTTTCTGTCTCGAATATGCCTCTTGATACTGCTCACCAGGCTCCGCTGAGACTACGACTGAGGCACTGCAGTTGAGGGAAATGACATATTCTTTTGGAAGAAAGAGGGAGAGATATGGAAGAGGAAGAGATGGGGAAAGTATTTTTGAGGAGGTGTTTTGCTTCCTGTTAAGGAGCACCATGCAAAGGAAGGCAGCTTCTGGAGCAGTTTCAATATTTCTTGCATGTGAGCCCAGAGTCGATAATTCATGCTGTGCATTCCTGGTCATGGTTCACTGGAGAGAGAGGAGGATGTGTAACAGCTAGCAGTGACTGAGAAGCTCTTCCCATTCAGTTCCGCGCAAAAGACAGTGTCTGCAGAGATTGAGAAGGAAGAAGAGAAGCGAGGAAGTAGGAAAGCAGGGATTTGACAGTGATGACAGCTGAGGGCCTAGTGGTAGGTACATTTTAAGCAGTTGTGAGCACTCACTTTACTTCTGCAGAACGCTGAGCTGGACATACTGAACTTTTTACACTTGCATTTTCTTCAACAGTTGTTTTCTCTCTATTAAGAAGTATAAGTACTTTTTCAGAAATTGTTTAGAGACACAGATCCTGACAGGGCTGTGCTTCTTTTGGAGCTGAGTCCTAACTCTTCAGCACTGTGCTACCTCCATATCTGTCCACTACAACCGTTCTTCCCATCAGCTCCTTGCAAGAGCCTCTTGAAAAGCTTCCTCCTCTCCTAAACAGCTCCCCCATTCTTCAGGTGCTTTGTCATTCAAAATACAAGGCATTTTAACCACAGTTATTGCTCACTTCTGATTCAGAAATATTGCTGCATTGCACCTGGTCTTGTGCGCTGTCTGATTGGATCTTACTGCTAGGAAGAGTGCATATGTCCCCCAGCAGTGTGCTGTAAAGCACCTAATCTGAGAGCTTCCTTCTGTAAGGGCTCAGAAGTGCTATTAGCATGAGGTTTGTGTATAATACACTGCTGCTGCATAGGTCTCTGAGTTACTGACTTTAACCATTCTTCTTGCTGATGCCACAATATTTTCTTTTTACAGCATTTTACTTCTCAATAATTGTGCTGTTCAGAGCTCTCAGCACTGATTCAGTAACATGAATCACCACCTCCCTAACAGCAGCAGAGGGAGAGCCTAGGGCAGAGCGTGAGGAGAACCACAGCAGCTTGAGCCTCCTTTTCCTGGAACATGGAAAGAGTTTCCTTCCTGTGGGAGTGGGTGGCAGGACGGTCTTCCTGCAATGGTCTCATAACTCAAGAAATGTAAGGCTGATTCCTGATTCTGCTGCAGATGCTTCAATGCCTTTGACTTCAGGAAGTCACTTGATTTCTCAGTTCTCCATTTGTGGAATTAGTGCATTAATTATCCCTCTTGCCCTACAATGCTGTAAAATTCTGCCTGAGTTTTAAATTGGATTGCAGAGAGGAGAAGGAAAGAAACATTTTTTGATTTTTTGTTTTTTTTTCCCCCAAAGCAGTGGTCCCTTATCCCTGGGCACAGCGGCGATGGAGCAACACATTTCCCAGGGCTGCTGTGGTATGGGTAGAATGGACACAAGTGGAACAGAGAGCGTTACTGCCTCCCCCTTCGGAGCCAAACGGCTACTGAAAACCAGCACGCACGTAAGGCTGGACTGTTTGGAGCAAGATATTCTAAGGCTGAATTTCTCTGGGAACCTGGTGCCTCCTGCCTTAATGTCCCTTGAAAATCTCGTCCTTAATTAAGAGCTTGCCAATTTGTTTTGCAAGAACTAATGGAAGGGAAGAATTCTGTGATATTTTCCCTGGAGTTAAAGAAATGTACACTTAACTTGCTTTAGCACATCTTTCTGCTGATAAAAAGCAGGTTCTGTTTTTAAAAAGGCCTTCTCTTAATTCAAGATCTGCAGCTTGTCGTGGGATTTCACCAGAAATGACTTGGAAATTTCTGATTTTAACATTTTCTCATTAGAATACGTTAAACAGTCAAAACTAAAGACATTTTCAGGAAGCTACTACTTTCTTCAGGCATGAGCTTTTTTAGGATATAACAAGGTTTCAAGCCTGTAAAATCTTCTCTCATGAAAATGAGAAAAACAAAATCTATTCTGAAATTTTAGTTGACTTGTGCTCTTTTCTTTGAAAACATATAACAAAACATTTTGGTTACCCATGTTTGGAATGGGTTTTGCAAACACTTTCACAGCTTTAATCCTCTTTCATGAGAAGGAAAATTCAAAATCATTTTGCCCTAGGATCATGTTTCCAAGACTTCCAGCATGGGGTCTTAAGCCACCCCAGCAATCATTTTAACGTGGTCTTAGTGCTAGTCTGCCTTAAAGGAGACAGATGCACAGATGCACAGTCATCTTGAATAAAAGAGCATTGTGAATCACTAGTTTTCCTTCACAGATGGAGGAAGGTGCAAGTAGTTTCTTCCAGTAATAATCTCTTTCTGGAAAACACCACCACTCCTCCTACCCACCTGTAATCCAAAAGAGAGATTTGAATCCTGCCTGGCAGGCAGCTGGAGTAGAGCTATGGATTCGTGTTACTCTTTAAAGATATATGGGGAGAGGGCAAGCTTTGATCTTTGGGGCATTCAGCAGATTAAGAACTTTGCAAGCTGGCACTGCTCCAAACGCAGCCCACTTGAACAGTTCTCAGCTTGGTGGAAAGGACAGGCAGACCAGGATCTTTTAAAATTGCTTGTGATTCTATGTGCTGTCAGTTTGGGGTACCCAGCCAGAGAGCTTCATTTTCAGTGTAGAAGGTGTGAAGAATTTCTTTTTTAAAAACAAAGACCCATTCCAGTGTCTTCTGTTGGGCTCATTTGAAAACAAATTGTGGAAGCAATTAGATCTTGCACCGCAGAGTCTAATGGAATCTGTAATAGCTACAGATAAGACTGCAAATTAGTGGGGTAAGTATTGCATATCACTTCATTCCTGCGTTCTCACCTGGAGGAGGCTGCTGTCACAGACAGGTCTTCTGACTGCAAAGACATTGGTTCTCATTAGCTATTGCAATGTTATAGGCATACTGTCCTGTACCGTACAGAAGTCTGTTTTTTTCTTAATTTGTTTGTATATATCTTCATGCTAAATCCCTCCGACTAAATCGGAGCTACTGACTAATTCAATAAATCCCAAGCCTTATGATACTGGCGATCTATCATCTTCTAGAATTTATTATGTATTTGAGATCATCCACCAATGTCTGCAAATAATCCTTAATCAGTAGCAGAGCTACCTGTGTTATTTTGAGGAACTGAAAAGTTTGAGTCTCTTCATTCCCCATCCACAAATAGCTATCTACAGAGGGGGCTGAAATCTGAACAAAATATTTACTTTAAGTACTGGTTAAAATGTGGAACATGATTAAGGATTTAAAATGCTTTGGTTTTGTCTGGTTTTTGTTCGCTCTAAGTTTTGCTGCTTGGCATTTGAACAGTCTAACTTAATTTGACTGCAGAAAGAGATTGTGTTTGTTCCCCAGTTAAACAATTTTTTTTTTCCCTTCAGCCAGGCTCTCTGTGTTTGTGCAGCACCTAGCACAATGATATTTCAGTTTTGAGGCTTTCAGCCATACTTTATTAAAAGTAAACAATAATAAATCAGATTGAGGAAATCAAATATTTGCCTTCCACTTTTGTCATCTAATATTCATTTAACATCTGCTCTTTTCATTGCCACCCCTATCAGTAAGCTTGTTTGCAGAAATGCTTGCCAAAAAAAGCCAATTCCAGAGGAAAGTGGAGCTCTTGTAGCCTTGCCTTGCCTTGCCTTTTTTTCTTATGTTTTGGAAGCATTTGCCCTGAACCATACATGACAAACATTTTCCATGAAGATCCCTTTCATAGATTCTTTGTAGAAGGTTTGATGTAGATGTGTCAATCAGCACAACATTCAGGTGACTGCTTCTTGCTTTAAGTGCCACTTCCCTGCATTTGAAACTTCAAGAAAACATTCGATGAATTACTGCTTTGTCCCTCATGGTGAATGAGTAAAAATACTGGCTGGAATCATCAGAAGGGAGACAAGGAGGCTCTGCATGTTCCTCCCAGACACATCAGCCAGTGCTTCTCAAATCTCAAATCCTAATGATCTTTAATCATTTATCCCTGCTGCAAATCAGCTCCGCCTTTCATCTTAAATCCTGACTTGCAACACCCACCTTTGTCATCTTTGCAAGCAAAATGTAAGTAGAAGAAGGACATATATCTAGTGTGGACCTATTCTTTTACATCTCCTCCCACAGAGTGGGCATTCAGCCATAGAGAAATTGGGCTTGATCATCAGCTACTGTAAATCAGCATCTGTTAGCACAGCAATAGTGCTGGAAAGGACTTGAGGAGATCATTAACTTTCCAATGGAAATTTTGTCATTATTTGAGGGGGATTTGGCCCTTAACTCATATAACAGAAATAATATGTTTATTCGGATCTCAAGCAGACATGCGGGAGAGAGAGAAGCCAACAATACTGAAAATACAACTAGCCCGATAACACCAGGGCACAGATTAAAAGAGCAGAGTGTACGTTTTACAGAGAGTGAGCTTGCGGAGAGTTAGCAGCTTGCTTTTGGGACCCCTGACAGGATGCATGCTAGAGGAAACTCCTATTTCCTGGTGTCATTCACGTTTCAGAGGCTGGGCAAGGAAATTCGCACATGGCATCCTTCTGCAGTGATGACGCGATGAACCCCTGATCACACCCCTCTGCTCCCCGGGGCACCTTAGGACAGCTCCTCCCATCTGAATGTACAGCAGGGGAGCAGACTAAAAAGGAGGCAGGCATCTTTTTCCTCCCAGCCTTTTGGCCAAGCTAATGAAAGATGCAATGTGACAAGAAGTGTCATACGTGATCAGATAACCCTGTACAATGCTGCCCCTGCCTGACTCACCATCCAATCCCTCATCCAGATCACGAGAGCCAAGCATTCCCTCATGCTCCTTCTAGGACTGTAGCAATCTAACATCCATGCTCCAGCTCCCCATGACCAACTTGCTCCACAGCTGTGCCCTGACTAACCTCTCATCAACACAATGGGAAGGAACAAAAACGAGGACTTCATCCTGCCAACGTTTAAGGAAAGGATTTTCCAACATGCCTAAAGAAACTGAATGCCCATTCTTACTTGTTCTTACTTTTTGAAGCCCCTTGACAACCTATAGGCCATCCAGTTCTTGCTGCTCATTGCTTTTTCCAGCTAAGTGATTTCCATGTTTTTGCCATTTTCCTAAACAAAGATGCTCATCTGGTTATACTGGGGGGAGAGGGAGTTTGTTGTCTGTGTGTATATGTAGCTATATTTTCTTCTGCCTGCCTTTCGAATTGTTTGGCCAGTGTCAAAATAGGTTGATAAGAGCACAGAGGTCTTACGCTGAATGTTAAGTTCCTCCAAGTTTTGAGACATGTAATAGTGGGTGGAGAAGAGAGCCATCTTGGTATGCCTCTTCCTAGATCTCAGAGAATCTATATGGGACCTGAGACCTTGAAACAACCCACAGGAAAGCAGGCATTATTGCTTCCGTCATTTGTGGTACACCTTGTTTTCCAGGTGCATACATAAATGTTTTGCTTCCTCCTGAGCTAAAATGATTTAAGACTGTGGTATAAGACGTGATCTAAGATTGTCTCTGTCCTACTCAGTCTGGGTAGTCAGAAGGCACTAAACTAAACCTCTCCCAAAGGCCTTCATTAAAATTCAGGCAAGCTCATCAAAATTTTGAAGTCTAACTGCAGCACAGATTCAGGTCACAGCCTAACGAGAGATTAGTCTCCCAGGTCTTCAGCTTGTTGCTACAGTCCCTTTGCTCAGCTAATGACTTTGGGCTGATTCTTCAAGGCAGGAAGCAGAGC